ATAAATAAATAAATAAATAAATAAATAAATAATAATAATAATAATAATAATAATAATAAACAAAGAAAATACATACAAATACACAATACAACAATACATAAACAATAACAGATAGCATAAATCTATGGTGTATGTTCCTGCAGAAGTCCAATGCATAAAAATAAATCAAGCTTAAGCCATTGTTTTACTCGTGGTCTGCTTTATTATTAAGGCCTTTGAGACTATGCTGATGTAGAAGTACCTGGTTGACCTTCATAACTAAAAGTAGTGTATCTTTTTATAGATTAGTCTTCTAGTACAATTTCTTAGCAGTCAGCTGGAGCCATTTGTATGTACCAACAGCAAGCAAACGTGAATAAAACCATTTGTTCCTGTTAACTTGTCACATGGATAAATGAATCTACACTTAAATGGCTGGTTCAAGGAACTCGGTTAGAGTGTATTCTCGTGTAGCAGAAAAGCACAGGGCTGTCACAGAGCCTAACTGCAGTTATTCATCATAAAATTGATTTTCTGTCTGTAAATTTATTTATGTTTTAATAATTGATGAAGGGAAATGTGTCAGGTTGAGATATGCTGCAAGGTGACTAATCTTGAAGACCCACTTTGAGCTTTCTCAGGACCACTAAAGCTACATTCCAGTGCACAAACCACTTAGTCCTGGAGGTGCAGCATACCAAAGGATACACACTATATTCATCACTTTTTTTGATGAATATGATGACAGTGGTTTACATCCACAAGACCCCATGCTTGGAAGAGACAGTGATCAAAACGACTATCTGAAAACACAGTGCCAGCTTGAAAAATAGTGAAATGTTTAAAAGGCATCTTACATAACCAGGTTTGAAGGCACCTCAGGGTGAGGAAACTTGTCTTACATGAAGCAACAGGATGGGCAAAAGCCAAGTCTGTAAGTTTATTTATGTCATCAAAAAGAGTTCTGATGTGAGGCAACCTTGAGTAACATCTTGCCCGCAGAACTCTGTCCTTTTAATACATTTCCTATCATTGATGCAGTTATAGTCAGAGCAAGTTTCTTTGTAGGACAGGAAGACTGTGTCAGGTTCTGTTGATGCTTCGGTATTTGATTTGTCTCCCGGAATGCAACACTCAGTCACTTCCCTGGTCAAAGCTCCCGGGGATTTCAGGCTGAGCTAAACCAGACCTTTTTATTACTCAGCTTTCCATCCTACTTTGCCCCCTTTCCTTTGACAACAGAACAGTGTGTGCTGTCCACCTTTTCTGCTTTGATTTCTTTTCCGGTTGGCACTATTTTTTACTCAACTTACATAATGGTTCGAAAAACACGTCACCTGGACGGGTTAACAAACAACATTTTGAATATTGCTCAGATTCAATGTGTTGGTTGTACCTATGTGGCAGCGACATCTAGTTCACAATGGCAGCAGCTCAGAAAGGCTCAGTTAAGAGGTGAAATGTCAAAATACAGAAAATCTGAGACATAAATACTTAGAAAAGAGGCTTCCAAATATTTACTCAAACACCACCTGGTAGGAAATCTGTGCCCAGGTGAGGAAAATAATTAACCCAGACATGAATGTGATTCATAACAAACATGACAAGTGACAGAAGAGTCACTACAGACAATGACTTGCAAGATTTCTTTCATTCAGCTCCAACATCTGTTCAGCTCTGATTAGTCTGAATCAGATTACATTAATGATCAGGGTTTGTGTTTCATTTAAACCATTACAACTACTAGATAACTTTCCATTTGCTACAAATAACAGTGATGTACTCGGGATGATTCAAGATGGATCATTGACTTTTGTGATCCCTAACTTTACCTCTTATCATACAGTCTTTATTTTTATGGTGCCCAGCCCACTCACTGTACAAAAAGCAGCAGGTCTAGGCTGTACTTGTTTGAGTATTTATAAAGATTCAACATGAGCATAACATCCGAGTAGCAGATACCACCCATTTTTATCCCATCCTAATCCACCGTGAGGAAAGCACTTTGTAGCACTTGGTAAAACAAAACGTCCTTATAACAGGCAGAAAGTTTCAGCAGAAGCACTCCCATGTTCGTGAGTATATTGCCACCAGCAAGTTGCAATATTTACTTTTTTATGATTTGTAAATGTTGAATTACCATGAATTTTTCCACGAACGCTCCCAACCTCCTTGGGACTTATCGACACTCCTCATGGATAATAAAAGATGACTCCTTACATTTCCACGAACAAGCCCAATTTATAAACAGTCCAGCGCTGTTTGTAAAGGATGAATATTTGAAATATGAACGACATTCCCAGCAGCCTTATTGTTTTGGTGTAGTCACAAGTGGAAATCTTTGAATACGCATCAAGATGTTAAATATTATGTCACTTGTCAATATATGGAAATTAAGATTCCAACTATCCAACTAGGAAAGAAAACGGTAAAAATTTAGCTAATTTATTTTAAAGATGGCTAAACACAGGACCACATAGTTTACATTTAAACGATGTCAAAGTGCAGTGTGTAGCATCACTTGCCATCAGTTCTCCCTACAGGTTTCTCTGGATGACTGGTCAAATGCCAGTTTAACCAGAAAAAGCTTACAACTTCTAGATCAAAATATTGCAGAACTGTCCTTTTTTTACATTCAGGCTGAAGGTCACTATAACAATAACAACATAACAATCAAACAGCATTACAAACCCATAATGACATTTTAAAAACTCTCACATCACTTGTGACTTGTTGCAAAGAGTGACAAAATTAATGCACACATCTGTACACCTCTACATCGGTCATTACGAGCTTTAATGCGACCTCACGTATCACAAAGCATGACTACAGAACAGTCTTGTCTGAAACATGTTCGCTGCAGGACTTTGCAAATCCTTAGCTATCATCTAAAAGATATTTGTTTTTATTATTTCACCTTAGCTGAATTGTGCTGATTTTTGTGTAACAAGATGTCTAGACATCTAGTTTGTCCCAGAGGTTTATTGGGGTTGTAAAGTGGAGGTCTGGATGGATGTAAATCAGTGCAGAGCTGCTCTCTGCTCTCTTTTTGCAGCTTTGAGTTCCTTCTTTCTTGTGCTTTGTTTGTCTAACAAATCTGCAGGTAGTGAAAACATGTTGGGGTAAATTTGAGATGAATAATTTGCCAAGGTTTAAGTTTGCTTTAACATCAGTTTAATGTTTGGACAGCTTTTTATATTGGATCGCAGCTGGCAATGGTTTTACAGCGTCTGGGTGGATTCCCCTTGCATATATTGGGTGGATACCATTGACGTCTTTTTTGCCAGTGAACTAGATTGGTTTTCATTTAACATGCATTATGATTTTTCATTTTATGTTATTCAATGGCATCTCTTCGGATTGTTGTTCTTTGTCTACGTTTAAATCTATTTTTCAACAAGGCTTTGCGCCGCCACAAATGAAATAGCGATGATGGCAGCTATGGTGGAATGTTCCAGCTGTCATTGTTATGACAAGAGAAGTCCTTTTTTTTCTTTAACTTCAACCCGTCTTTTATTTTGTCAGTCAGACTTCACAGTCCTTTCCTTTTTGTCTTTACAGCACTGTCACCCTGTCCCAAACCATCCCAGGAAGAGAAGTCTTTGCAGCAGCCCCCCAAGATTTCTCATCCTCCCTGTCAGGCTTGTCTCTCTGTCCTGTAACACTCGACTGTCTCTGAGACTCAAAATTCTTAGGGAAATAAACATTTCTAGCTTCCTCTTGACTTTGTCTTGGCTCTCACCTGAAACAACCTATAAATGTATTTAAAAATGGCAATTGCTCCCTTTTTCATGCCGTTGAACCAAAAGTAAAAGGACATTGCTGGTTGTCTGTCCATGACTGAAACTTCTCTTATGAATGTATTCTTATTAAAGAAGTAATGGTAAGATTTTTTTATCACCTGGCTTTCCTACTAATCACAAAGCTGGATTCTTATTGGTCAAAATCCCTTGACAACATCTAGAGAACTGTTGATGCTTCTATTGGCAGAAAAGTTATTTTTTTAAGTATCAGATGGACAATTTTTTTAAAATATTACTCTAAATCTATTTAAAGAGAACAACACCGTAGATTGTAGATGGTCCGATATCAGCAAAAAGACAAATATCAGATCATATTGGCCTGCATCTAAAATCTCCAATATCAGCACACCGATACAAGTAGTCCATTCCAGACTCAGCGCCCAGAATCAGCATGCAGAGCCCTCATAATCACAACAATGGTGTGTACTGAGGTACTAAGAAAGTAGCCAGGAGTAGCAGTGATGTCAGCCGTGTGGCGGTATTTTTCATTTACTTCCGAAAAAGATGATGCAGCTGAGTGCAAAACTTTTCATGCACAAGTTTGTGTCAATATCAGATCGATATCAGTATCGGCCAATACTGGAGGCTACAACATCAGTATCGTATCAGAATTTAAAAAGTTTTATCGGGACGAACATTTTTTTCCCTAGGATGAAATAGGGGAATCCACGCCCCCAACCCATTTGATTGGTTTCTACACAGTCTCTTACTTCTACCTCGAATGCGCCCCCTCCTGTTTTAAAATTTTACTGCAGTTACATCGCCGCCTGCCCCCTAACCCAAACCAATCAAATGGGTTGGGGGTGTGGATTTCCCCGTTTCACCCTAGGGAAAAAAATTGGCTATTAGGACACCCCTAATGGTTAATGGCTCAGTCAACAGAAAACAAGAGGAGTTTACTACAACACACAAGAAGGTGAGTCACAGAGATGTCAACCAAATTGAAGAGGACAAGTACAAAGCAGCCACAAACTGCAACAGCATATGGGCTTTGGCAGTGTTACCAGCTGAGAGACAAGGAAAGCAGAGTCTCATTGAGTCATGATTTGTGGAAACACAGCAATATTTCTACGGTCTGTTTAGACATGGTTAAGCTAGGGTTAGCATGCGTTGGTGTAAAAATACTGCATTGGCCAAACTCTGCTGAAACAGAAGATCTAAGAGTGCGAGATAAGTCACTATCCCAGGAAAATCAGCCATAATCCTACGATTGTGTCATCTTGTCATTGGGGACAGTACCAGCAGGGGATCAGGCTTAGTGCCTTTCTCATCTCAAGTTCCTTATTTAGTCTCACCTGAAAGAGTTCATTCTTGTATCTCTCTCCCTATGACAAGGTTGGCCTTTCTTAGTCTGTAAGGCTCAGACAGAAAAAAAAAAAAAAAAACATGCATCAGATAAGCAGCAGAGCTCTGGAGATTTCACTGACCTTTACAGGAGCAATGGGGGAAGCAAGGTCTCTGTCTTGAACTTCAAACGCATCACTTTGGGCTCCTAAAGATTCCTGAGAAGATAGAGATTTGTTGTCAGCAGACCTGGTTTACCAAAATGAGCTTCACATGCTAACACTTCACCATAAAATAATCTATCCTTTCATGCAGATATGACGCCAGGAGGGTTATGCTTTTGTGAAATAAAAAATACTGTTTTTCAAAACAGAAAAAGAACAACCTTATCAAGTGTAAGGTCTATTCAACTGCTAAAATCCTTCCACAACAACTAAAAATCAATATCTATCTAACCCAAAGCAGTAGTTCCAAATGTGTGTCAAAAGACTTCTAAATTAGCTTTAAAAGGGCAACAATTCCTCATAAAACAGCTGCGGGGGCTGCAGTCTGCTGTACTCTGCTGTTTGAAAACCTCGACCTTTATCAGCGAGCAAACTTGTGAGGTAATTGAGTTAGTCTTGTTTGTAGCTACACACGATTAGGTTTGATTGTCTACTTTGGAGCTATAATAGCCAAAGAATAACGAGGAGCATAATAAATTGCCTGCTCTCAGGGATTTCTAGTTAGAGAGGTATTATTATAATGGGTGAAGTTGAGCTCTTGGGGAATCTGCATTGCTTCATATGAGGCAACTTTTGCTGAAGAAGCTGAGCTTAAAGACAAGATTATCCCGTGGCTTTTAATGCCGGGGCTGCTGCTGTAAGCACAAAAGACAGAAATTTTACTGCACTGCAGAAAAAAATCCAAAGAGTTTTTATAAGTGAGGAAAAACAGATCTTAATATTAGTACAAAGCTTTGAAATTTTGTGTTATTGAATGTCTTTTCCTCAGCCTTCGCCGCTGCTGCAAAACCCTAAACGGTCCAGTGAGAAACAGAAACAAGCTGCAAAACCAAGGATGTGTCTCTGCCAAGACAATTACCTATTACCTCCCCCTACAGTAAAAATATCACAAGGCAATAACTCCCCCACCCCCTTAAAAAAAACAACTAATGGTACAAAATAAGACAAAGCTTGCTGGATAAAGTCCCAAATGGATTTGTGAGGCTCAGGATCCTGTTACGGGAACTTAACAGAGGAAAACAGACTCATAAATCTACAGACTCATCAACAGGAAGCATCATTCACGGGCAAGCTAATCCAATTTCCTTTTGTGCTGAATGTTTTGTGAGTCACCAAAGTTATAAGTGGACACCATTTACTCTGGGTGAAGACAAAGAAACAAAGAGCAGTACTTCGAAGACAGGAGGAGTCATCAGAAGTTGAGCTTTGAACTTTTTTTCTTGAATACATTTCCAGGCCCTTCAATCCACGCTCACAGACACAAAGAGCCAAAAGTACTTCTAAAAGAAGAAACATTTTATTTTGAATGTCCATTTGCGTGTTTTTGTTAGTGCAGATTATCAAATGAATTGCAAAACCTCTTCAGACTTCAGAAGTTCAGAAGTTGAGGTTCGAGAGGTTCTCTAACTTGAGCAGGTGCATCAAAGCTTTATTTGGCTGTTTCTCATCTATAATAGAATTCAGTGTTTTTTAAGGCACTGTGAGAAGGTTTTAACTTCATTTGAAAAAGTTTGATTTTTCTACTCATAGTTCTACATGATTTCTGTTGTAAAACCAGGAAAAGTACCAAAACAGGAAAACTCCTTACAGTGCCTTTAACGGTTTTATTTTTCTTTATCTTTTTGATTGCTTTTCAAAAGAGTGAATTCATGTGATAATGAGTATTATGTCTGTGTTTAAAAATAGCAGGTGTTTATACAAAATTCACCCATATTAAAAACTAAAAACTTCACTTTTTCTTAAATTTAGAGCATTATAGTTCAAGTTTTGAAAGTCTACCTTGAGACTTCTACAAAGCTGAAGTCATGATATAGAAGGAGACTCCTCTGAAACTGAAGCTAAAAGACTCAGAGCTATTCTTCATGATTGGATTAAGTATGGATAATAAAGCTGTCCTTTTACTTTGTTACCCAATGGGACATACTGTAGGTCAAAATCAAACACAAATCAAATCAGTATTTCTCAGTCATGGTTTCTGCTATAATAGCTAGCTCCTAATATTGGCTTTCGTGTCCACCGTTGCGTGTTACGGGTTCATTAACTAGCAGAAGCTCCACCAGGTAATCTCTACTGACTCGGACTCCAAATGACATCATTAGCACAATGTGGCAGCAATATCTTAGCTTCACTTTGCTATAAATAGAGGAGGTGGAGATGAATTGCCCATCGTTATGTAAAGTCGGTGGCTGATTTTGAAATTCTGATCTCTGAGACCTACTAAAATTAACTCAAGCTGACACTTGGTTATGTAAGCCTTAGTTCTCTTGACCGTAGGTGCTTTTAATTGGTAGCAAACACATTTGTAAGGAATCTACACCGCAGTGCTAGCATGGTATAGAAAAATATGTAGAAAGAGAAAAGGGTAGAGGCCAAAGGAGGCTGGGATTGATTGGAAACTGTGTGTTGCCCCGTCTCCTCCCTGGAAGTAGTATTAATGAAGGCAGTTATTTTAGCTGGCTAGGAAGCAGAGAGAAAATCTAATATGTTAAGGACTATTTCTTCTTTAGTCCTAGGAGGCAAAAAAGACAAAGTGACTTCATAAAATCCCACAACTGCAGTCAGAAAAACAGGTTTCAACATTGGCTTCTTTTGGCTTGATCTTTGGTATTGATTCCTGTAGCACACTTACAGTACAACAGGCCCGTTATCCGTCTGATGCGAATGTGCTCAAAATGGGGAATAGTTTTATGAGTGTGGATCAGTTAGTCTTGTAGTGTAATACTGAAGCTTTTCTGGTGAGATCCAAGGGGAAATCTGGCAGCGCCTACGGGAGACCAAGATGAAACCGTAAGAGCCGCTGACTTTTCTCTGACATGAAGCGAGAAGATTATGACAGAATGTTTTATGTGGGGATGAACTGTTCTCTGCAACACAAGCTCCTCTTATACAGACATACAGTCAAAGACGACATACAGAGTCTGGAACCGTTTAACACCCACTGACAGGCTGGTATTACTAGAAAATGCTATCAGTTCATGAACCGGCACTTAAACAACTCTCTAAGCACTGTTATTAGACAAAGCACATCTATGGCACACATTTTTCTGTACCCATCCAGTGAGTATTTATCTGATGGAAAAAAAAAAAAAAAACATTAAGAAGATGTTTCATCAGCATACGCTAAGATGTACGCCTTTGTTACAAGATTCGTCTCACATCCTGCTACTCTCAGCAAGGATTTGAAAGGCGTCATACAGAAGCTGAAATGATAAGATAAGTCAGCAACGTATCCAAGTCACCAATGACAAAAAGTTTAATGGGTTGCAGAGAACTTTACAAGCTTTCAAGACTGATACTTATCCACATTTGCCATTGGGGCCAAGTGCGCCAATGGCATAACCTTCAACCGGTGAAACCTTCAACCCAGTTTAGAGTTGAAAGTCACGACAAACCTAAAGTTATAACCTGAGCGACAGTAAGTCTTGATTCTAGCATGCATTGTCTTGACTGTCAAAAGAATGACTTTAGAGTAAACAAACATGGCAGACTATGAAAGCTATCTGCTCAGCTATCTGGTACATCCATTTTCATGCCTCTCCCTGTCATTTGGTATTGGTATGATTAACCTAACACATGTGAACACTTGTGCTGCTGCAGTGTATCAACGCTTGGGTTTGTTTATTCTGACATCCTTCTAAGTTTATGTTTCGTGTTTACTATGGCTGCCATGACTACAGTTGTTGTGTTTCCGTCTTCGGTCAGGTTGCTTTCCCATTGGCTATCATTTTGTTCCATGTTTCTGATGTAAAATATTAAACTACAGACTGTATAATCACTGGAAATGGGATCGTTGATGAAATCTATTTGTTTTGAAACCAATTGGCAGCCATCCCTATATTGGTAATGCCGACTAAACCAAACTTATAGGCAACCTACTAGAGGCGGGGCTTCAGCCTCCTGCAATTCTTATTTCCAAGACCTACTTGAATTAATTCAACATGACACATAACTAAACATGTGTGCATTTGCTCTGTTTACATGGTTCCCAGTGCCTCAAGCAGACACTCATGGATCTACAGTTTTTATCTCTTTCACATCGGCTTCATTTCAACATGTTTAATATTTTTGTTTTCAGCACATGGTTGCTCTGATAATTTCTCATGGGGATCAGGGGGGAAAAATCACTCTGAACACACCTCACACCACAGGATAATCTGGAACCATCAGATAATCAGAACCTAATCGCTGATTGGTCCATGAGGGACAATCGTGCCCAAGTCAGCGCAAATAATCGCATAACTAAAAATACAAATACAAATACAAGGGTGGTACTTTTTGTTGATTGATGAAATGGCATCCGGTTAATAGAGGGTACGCCTTGATTGAACACACTCAGACAGTGAGCTAGTTTTAAGGTTTTCTTTTTTCTGCCGTGTTTGAATTAATAAAAGAACTCTCTCTCCAACTCCAGTATGTGTCAGGCAGGAACACAGCGCTGTCCCTCATCCTGCAGGTACTGAACATCCTTAGGTTTTATGCAAATTAGACCACTAGCTCTGAGCTGTCATTGCCTCTCAGTGCGGTGAAAGCTGGGGGAATTCTCTCCAGATAGTCGATGATTATGCTGTTTTACAATGGCAGTATCATGTAGTGTTGACTTTTTATTTTTTGTTGACAGCTTTTGTTCTCTGTATTTTTTACCAGGGGTTGTCCTGCTGTTGTAGTCAGAGCTGCACAACTAAAGTGCCGGCATGTACGCAGTCATCTTTGTATTCCTGATGTCGGGAACATTTAAATCAGCTCCTTTGTGGTGTCTTTGCACTGTCATGCACAGCCCATATTGTATAATATCAATATTTTTGTATAAAAAAATAAAAATGCTTTGAATTATATCTTTGCTAAAAGAACATGCTGAACCTTTTCTTCTGAGGGGACATTTCATTTTAATAATTATTCACATCCTCCTCGAACAAACATTGACCAAAATTATTGGATAACAGTATGATTTTCTGACACATCAGTTTCATAACCATAGTGGTATTGCTCACCAGGTAGATGATACATGGTGGTTAGGCTACAAAGACATCAGAGATTGCCTTTGGAATGAATCACAAGTCTTACAGAGTACTGGTAAAACCCATTAAGAATAACATTTTGATTTTTCATCCAACACACATTTACTGTATATTAATGATGTGTCTGGGTATTAAAATGCTCTTAAACATAATACAAACTTCTTTCTAGGTGGTACAACTTAAAATGACTATTTTAGGATTCATTTTGTTAGTGGATTTTTACACTTTTTCTGGTGTATCGGACATTAAATTTCATATTTGTGAGATAAAGAGTGTTGGAACTGCACACAAACACTCATATGCTACGACAATAACTTTAAAGTGACTAAACCATCAGAAAAACACACCGCAAGAGTGGATATGGTATTTGGAAATAAAAGTGTTATTAATGGATTTGATAAGAAACACTCTGCTTTCAGTTAATTTTGCTGTTTCCTGACGGAGACTCGTCTCCACCTGATTATGAGCGACTGATTCTTGCTGTTCTCATAAATAACACTCTGCTCTCCTGGAGGACGTCCAAACCGACTTCATATCAGCAACAGTCCAAGAAACCCCCCGCCTTGGCAAACAGCTGGGCCAGATTCATCATTTTCTATTGCTCCCTTTCCACATTCTGTGTTTTTTTTTATTTTTTTCCCTGCCTCACCCCATTAGCCTCTGCTGCACCGAGCATTTAGTTTAAGGATTATCAATCAATGAAATCTTTCCCCAACACAAAGTCATGCTGCAGTGTTTCCCCCCGGAAGATGATGGAAGTCCACAAGGACTGAATGATAACATATCAGTAAACAACATCTGCAAAGGCTTGTGTTTGTTTTTAGAGGGAAAAATAATGCAAGGACATTTATTTATATTGCACAGCAGCTCATTAAGTTATTGGATTTTATTATTCAGTTGTAATTGTCTTTTGCAAGCAATATATCAAACTGTGTCATTGAAAATGTTCATTTAGGTGCAATAATTACCTCAAGCAAACATGTATGACTATCATCTATTATTAACACACAAATAATCAATGAATTGATGGTTTCTATATATATATATATATATATATGACATCTTATGTATCCACAATATATTTATGACTTTTATACCTTATTCAAAAAAAAGGCACAAAAATGTCATCAGTTACTAGTTTTTTTTGGTAAATATTATTACAGAATTACTAAGTTTGGATCACTCTTAGGAACTATTTTTTAAATGGCTTTAACTCTGAACACTTTTTGAACATCTGGGCAAAAGTAGAAAATCTGTGCTTCTGTCAATAACTAAAACAAATCCTTGAATTTAAAAACCAAATTGTTAAATTATTCAGTGATTTAGGAATCTAGTTCTGTGTCACAAAAACCCTGCATCACTGTTGGTAATACTGCATGTAAGAAGTGATCCTTTTTCAGTGAACTGATATATTCTTCTTTAACTACAACAATGTAAAGATTTTATTTATCAAAACTTTATATTGAGTTAAAAAAAGATAAATAATAACACCTTAAAAGTTTTTTTGACTGAAATGGATGAATCTCAAAAGATTTAAAATTAGATGAATCTCTCCAACAACAAAGTCAAAGTTAATCTTTCTCCAGTTGCCCTTTAAAAGAGAAAACGCAAGTTAGACCTTTAGACGCACCTCTGTTCTTTCAGCTTATGGAAAGTAATTATTAGGTTGTCGTTGTGGCTCTCACACTGAAGACAGAAATAATGGATTTCACTGATTAATTATGGTGAAGGAAACTTAATTGCTTGAGTGCTTCCTTTCAGATGAGTCCTTTGAAAGACGCCGGCTCTTTTCATTGCAAATGGACTGGAGTAAAGATTCACTTATGGATTAAAATAATGAAAGATGTTGCACATTTATAGTGTTCAGATGTCACACGCCCAGACTGTCATCATAAAGTGAGTTGTGTTGCTCCTTTTTTGTTCAGTTTGTTAAACTCTTAAGACATCTGTATTCAAATCTTTTTGTACTTTAGAGAAGATAACTTGACAACTTCTTTTAAGGTTTGATTTGGATCGACATCTCCACCGGTCTAATGTACAGAAGCAAAAGACAAGAACCCGACCTTGCTCCAAAATAGAATAGCTCAAGCGCCGTCTGTGAAATGTTAAGGAGAGAATTAGCTAGTTAAATCAAACAGACCAGGCCCTGATCTTTGATGTACTAAGCATCCCCAGGTTTGTCGAGCGTCCTGATGTGCTCTCAGGTGTCCCCAAGTGTTCGGCTCATTGACAGTTTTCCCCCCAGAGTGTTGGCCTGTATGTATGAGCCACAGCCAAAGGATCAGAGTGAGTAGCCTGAAATTAACTGGATATTGATTCAGTGCACAGCAGTCCCCAAGACAACGATTCAAAGGTGCAGCATACAGATAGTTTGGCTGCAAACTGCTCTGAGCTCAGACCTCTCAATGGCTTTGAGTGTCTTTACCTGGTGACAGAGCCGGGGGGGATTACTGTCTAGTTAAGAGGCCACCTGGAGCACACAACAGCGACAAAGAAGAAGACACAAACATCCCGCTACCACAATCGTCCAGTAAAAACAAGGTAATGCACGACAGGGTAACAAACACAAGTGTTAGTACTACATTTCTTTCAGTGGGTAGCATCACTATAGATGAAATACCTCTCCAGTAGCTGAGCTGTTTTATTGATTATGCTCTGCAGTGTTCATGCTCCATTGTCCCAAAACAAAGTTGAAGCAAAGTGGTGTGTTTTGTTGCAGTCCAACATCAGACTACAAAGGATCAGTAAATGACACCAACAGACACACACGCAAATATTTTCAGCTAGCTTTCCTCTTCTGTATGACAGACATGGTAAGTACATAACCTTTCAGCTGTTGCTTGTGATACCTGTTGCTGTCAAATGCGTATACACTCAAGCATGAGTTCAACTGGAGGAATACAAATGCAGACGATCAAGCGAGCATAACCAGACCCTATTGGGTTAACAATCACCGGCACAGTCTGTAGACACTCGCTAACAACTTGTCGACAGCTGACAACAGGAGGATTGCTGACAAGATTTTTGGACATTTGGATATTTCAACACTAGACAGAAATGGGGACATGAGTTTGAGAAGTGGAATCGAGTGAAAATAGATTTACAGTCTTGTTTTTAATCAAAAGCTGCAGCAGGAGATCAAGAGAGAGAAGCAGTTGTAAAGTTACATAGAGAGGCAGTGAAGGAAGTGACTGTCATGTATGAAAACAGCGCAAGATAATAGAAATAAGCTGTTGTTTTTTTGTCTGCTTCACAGCGGTTATGCTCTGGGAAATCTTAAAAGTAAATCCAAATCTCACACAGAGGTGCAGAAAGATGTCAGGTTTTGTTTGTCTGCCCGCCCGCCTGATATTGCCTCCAAATTACACCCATAAACTCCAACTTAAAAACATATACTGCATGCTGTGGAAGTAGAAATCAGGGTTGACAGCTGCACAAAACAAATGCACCAGTGGTCTCCTGCTGGACCTCGAACAGAGATCATTATGCCGAGCACTTAAATTCCAACCCCACGGGAACACCTCAACCAGAAATGGACTGACGTTTTGAAGCATTTGACATGTGTCATTCTCTGGATAACCACCCACTTAGGCAGTCTATTTAGGCTGCAGCCTTTCTGACCCTGATCTACTACTGCCCACTCCTTCAGCCCCAACACCCCCCAAGCATCCACCATTAGACTCTGACTGTATGGAGATTAGATTAGCTGAACACAATGTCTGCAGCTGCAACAAAGTTTGGCCAATACAAAGCTGACTGACTGAACAGGGTTGTTTTGTTGGCTTTATTTCATTATCTAATCTTTTAGTCAAAGGTAGGGCTAGGCGATAAAATGAAAATTTACAGATACCGAAATTTATGACAGTAACCGACGTCATTTGCCCACATCGGTATATTCTGTGTCAAAATAAATGAATAAAAGCTGGCACAGTATACAACTTGTAAACATAGCGAAGGGCAGTTTTGCAGGCAGTTCTGCCAACTGTGTTGCAGAGATTTTTCCGCTGTCAAAGAAAGCAAAGTCCGAAGTCTGGACGTATTTCGGGTTGTACAAAGGGTTGCGAGGGTTGCCAGGAAGCTTTTGTGCATCCCAGCAACCAGTGTGCCATCCCAGAGGCTATTCAGTGCCAGCGAGCACATCGTTTCCTCTCGCAGATTACAACTCTAACCGGGAAAGTAAATATGCTGACATTTTTACATCTCAAGTAGTGAGAATATGGACAATCAGTGTGGTTCATTTGATTTGTTTACATATTTTATGTTATTTTAACCACCTGCACTACACATTTGTTTACATGTGGTTGTATTGTTTGATATATTAGTGTTGCTTGATTATGCATTTGTAAGAGTAAAAATTTTTCAGCTCTGAAGATTCTTACAGTTTGCACAATAAGGAATGTCATTTTATTCAAATTGTATTTATTGTTATCATGTTCATGTTTATGCCACTGGCACATTACTTTGTACTTTGTTATTACTTGTACTCGTGTTGATGACCTCTGGCTCTTAAAAGGCCCCATCTTTAATTTTTTAGCTAATCGCTCCTCTGTTATTTAAGGTTCAGGAAAAGTTCAGTCTGTGTTTTTTTGATTGTTTTTTCAAAATAAAACTTTGTCAAATGATTTCAGGGTGTGTATAAGTACTTTTTCAACATTTTGAACATATTTCAACTGTGAGAATATTGATAACCGTGAAAATTTTGGTCACAATAATCGTGATGTTACATTTTCATATCATTACATCCCTAGATGTGTGTAGGTAGGCTACGGTCTCATGTCCCGTTAAGACGCCGTCCTATGTCTGAGATGTGACTCCACCCCATTCAGTCTGTTCAAAAGTTGTAGCAGCTAAAGTAGACAAAGTCAATGTGGGAGGGGGTGAGCAGCTTGTGGAGTAGTTATCGTCAATTTATCGTTATCAAGGTGAACTGATCAATATATCGTGATATTGATTTAAGGCCATATCGCCCAGTCCTAGTTAAAGGTATCCTACAGATTTTTCTTGAACATAAATGATGCTCACATTCATGGCCCTGCACCAAAGCACAAACGCTGCATATTTGTTGGCCCACAAATACCTTGTATGCTTTTACCCTCCTCTTACACACTTGCAGAGCTTCATTTACACCTCTTGTTTGAATACGTGTCTGTTTGCTATCTTATTCCCTGCCTCACCTGCCAGTTTTAGCTACAGTTCTGAGCTCATCACTGACACCAATTATAGAAGAGAATGGAATTGGCAGAAGGAAACAAGCGTGAGCGTGTGCATGCATGTTTGTGTGTGCATATGAGAGTCAATAAAACATGGCTGCATTGTCCTTGGTGCGGCTAAAAAGAAACCTCAGAGGTAGAAGGAAAGAATCATTTCGTCTTATGAAAGCTGGATAAAAAAACAACCGTAGTTTGGAGCATGCTGACTTTTCAGTGTAAAGAAAATATAATTCTCCTACCTTATGAGGCACTCAGCGGATGCTAATAAACAAACATCTTAAACAAAGTCTTTCAAGGTGAATGGATAGGACTGACTCACTAATGTCAATAAATGAATCTTTGAGCTGTAGAGTTCCTTTTCCTGGTGACTCAGAGCACTTTTGAAAGCTATTCAGGCTATAATAAGAGTATGTTTCTTTTTCAATAAATGTCAAGGCTGTTTATAACATGGCAAAACTTGCACAATAACTTCATAATGCTCTCCAAAGTTTTGGACTAAAGGCTGTAGAGCCATTGACCTTATCAACATTACATCCTCTCGCAGAAACTCAGAGTACTTCTAAAAGCAGAGTAGATGACGTTCATGTTGAATGAACTACTGTGCTCAGTAGGCCTGTCGCGATAATCAATAAATCGCCTAATCGCTCGGTAAATAAGAACGAGGTCGGTCATTTTGCCAGCCTTGATAATTAACGTGCGTTTGTTTTCCTCCTCTCTCACTGCCAAACACGCTGGATGAGAGAAGAGGTCTCAATCTGCGCATTTTTCTCGACACCTGGGTGCGTTGGCTCTATAGCGGAATGAACGCTGCGTGGAGCAAACGCAATGAATGATGGAACGACAGCTTTGGTGTCAAAGTCCAACGCAACAGCCCCAGTGTGGGAACATTTCGGTTTCAAATAAAATGAAGGAGGTGAGCCCACGAACACGCACGATATGTCGCATTTGTTCTTAAGTTTTGGTGACAAAGAAAGTTTTAATAGTTATGTGTGGAGTGAAGTTTTTGTTTCCGTACCAGAGACAAGGTCTATTTTTTTATTGTTTGTAGTTGTGATTGTGGTTTTATTTGAATGCAGTTTTTGATAAAACAGAATGTGGGTCCATTTTATTTTCATTATTTTTTGGTTGTCTTGTTTGTTTATATTTGTTCATCCTAGTTCAAAGTTCTTAATCTTGAGCAATTAAAGTTTCTTGCTTTTGACATGGTGTACTCGCATTATTATGCCATATATTATCATTATCTCCAATTTAAAAAACGGTATCAATAATATCGTTTATCGGCAATAATTTGTAGCACAATTATCGTCCAGCAAAACTTGTTATCGTGACAGGCCTAGTGCTCAGAAAAGACACTTGCATTACCCATTTGTTGATTTTAGTTTGCTTTGAAAACAACAATTAAGAAAAGAAATCCCATCCATTGTGTTATTGTGCTACAATGTAACATTTATATCAGAAGTGTCTCCAAAAAGTGGTAATTGGGTTGTGGCTGAGTGGGCTATCATGGATGAGTTGTGCAGTGACAGCAGCCATTAAGTTGTGTACAGAAAGCAGCAGGCTGGCTGCAGGCCCCCAGGGAGATCTGTCAGAGCCTTTTAGTGCAAAAGGAGAAGAGTGATGGAGCACCCCACCCTCACGTATCTCCCACTCAATGAGCAGCCAGGCCACTTAAAGAATGCCAATGATTGGCAGCCCCAAATCTACAAACTGCTTATTGTGCTGCTAAAACGTATGAATAATACATGCCCGGCAAAGGGTACGTTTCAGTGTCTCAAAATGAGTCCATGTATCAATAGCAACTGTACACACCTTTGAGGTTAATAAATATTCTGTTGCTCCTGCTTTTATAGTGATTTTTTATAGATCTGTGGTTTGTCTCCTTTTGTCTGGGGCTGTTGCAATAAAGTGGCAGTTAGAGCAGCAACGTTTGCACTAAAGTGAGCGCCCAAACTGCTGGAGAAAGACAAAATATATTGGACGATATAAATTCAACAGGGGGTAAAAGAGGGAGAAGAAAGGTTTTGTTTTGCTGAATTTTCATTTCACATTTTGGTGATGGTCTTTTGGAAAAAAAAAAAAAAAAAGTCAAAGGCATGTTCTTTACTCCACAAAACTCCACTCAGGAGTTTCAGGCTCTTTGCGAAACAGATTTCAATCAATAAAGCTGCCTCTCCATGTCCTGTAACAGCGGACAAGACCATCAGCGAGAGGACGTGTTCTCTCTTTTTTTTCATATGGCAGCGGGAAGTGAGTGGAAATAGAGAGATCACAGAGTTGGGACAACATGAAGCAAGAGCTGAAGGTGAGAGTTGAAACCAGGGGCTGCTGGCTGCTGCATCAAGGACTCCGTGCTGTTGGTGAACACTGACATGAAGGATTTCATTGAATTGGAGCTCTCTCTCTGGAGACGGTGAATGGTCGCTCACACTCTCGGGGGATCTGAGAGTTATTGAAGGGTTACTCAGCACTGTGTGTTACAGCAGCTGAAGTCAGGTGGACAACTTCTGGAACTTGTAGTAACTTTGAGATGGTTGACGCCAGCTCCTTGAACGTTAAAAGTAGTTTTATGAAGAAGTGAGGGCAGATCCCAACATGTCTGTTATCTTATTCCCTGCCTCACCTACAGTGGCCCTAAGGTGCAAAACACAACGGCATAAAACAAAAGAGAAAACACAACAGCAAATCAGAAAACACAACGACATGAACCATTGTGGTTTCTTTATTGTGTTGTGTTTTCTAATTTGCTGTTGTGTTTTCTCTCATTTGTTGTTGTGTTTTCTCTTTTTCTGTTTTGTGTTTTCATATTTGCCGTTGTGTTTTCTCTTTTTCTGTTTTGTGTTTTTAATATTTGCTGTTGTGTTTTTTCTTTTTGTGTTGTGTTTTTCTGATTTGCCGTTGTGTTTTGCACCTCAGGGCCACCGTACTCATCTGCCAGTTTGAGCTACAACTTTTGGTTTAGGAATCTGTATGATTTTAAAGAGGTGTAGCTTTTAAAGAACAGAGAATAATCCCCAGTGACTACATATTCTAGAATTTCTTTTAAGTCCTATTTCTGTGTTATTCTCAGTGTAAAATTGTGTAACTTAAATGGCATTACATTTGCATACAAGACAAATAAACTTTGAAGAAAAAATTAGACAAATACATATTTCTTATTTCATTGGATACTATCCTATCCTACTCCTCTGTTCTAGCTGCATGCTGCAGAATCAACTGTTTTGTGGCATTGTCTACAACCAAGAGTCAGGGCAAGTTTTTCACAGACTAAAATGTAGTATTTTTTCAGAAGAAGACTCGTTAATCAACAATGAGGCCAAATCACCAAACAGAAAAACAAAGAATTTTCCACTCCGTCGTAGAGGTAGGTGCAATTCATCGATGTGTCGATGCACCGCAATCTTCACGTGCAATTCTGCATCGATTAATTGACATTGATGCTTAAAAAAATAATAATTATAATAAAGCAAATTCTTCTCTGCCGCATGGTTGGAACAAAAAAAAAAAAAAAAAAAACATGTAACCGTATCCTTATCGCACACACTGCCCAGGCTGTTTAGTGAGTTGGACCACAACAAACAGAGCAGGTTAGTTTCTTTGCAAAATGGCAACGACTTCAGCAGCCTCCTAAGAGTGACGGATTCTCTCGCTACTGGTGTTGACTGCAACCGTGTGGAAGTACTTAGGATTTTATGAGCGAGCAAACAAGATGACTGACCTACGCGATTTGCAAGATTTGCAAAGCAAAAATAAAGTACCTCAGCAACACCACAAACTTGAGGCAGCACCTTGTAGGCTTTTATCACGAAACTTCTCCAAACTTCCCAGCTGAAGTTAAGTAGGTCGAAGTGCAAATGTTTACAGAACAGTCATAGAATATTTTGCGTCTTCGAAAAATAGAAGTCAAATGTTCAAAAAACCTTATTTACTTATTGAGTGTAGCTTTAGAGGAACCGAGTTAATTGATAGACTATTTATTTACAAATGTATCCACATATGAAGACAAAATCAATCTTGTCTGGAAAAAAACATTTAAAAAAATGGCAATAATCGAAGAATAGTAGCACCAATAATAAAATCGAATCGACAATCATTACAATCTAAGAATCAAAGCTCCCACAGTCAAATCCAATCATGAGGTTCCCTTGTTGGAGCACCCCTACTCCATCCATGTGGGTCACTAAGAACATATACGTATCTAACCTCACACCATTTGGCAGCTACTGTACCTACACTTCATCAAACTGACTGAAACACACTCAAATCAGCCAAACGGTAACCTCATGTTGTACTGACTGAAGACTCAGCTTGTTGTTGATCACATTACCTGCTCACTGTGTTATTTCCTGCACATCTCTGGTGTATCACACCAAATTTCAGGTAAACAGATAAAGATAAGAGGCGAGAAACACATGAAACACATGATAAAGCCTTCATGTATGTTGTGCCCGACTAGCTGTTTGAATGCAAATCAGCATCACAGTGCTCACAGGTGATTAGTATGCTGGTATTATCCATACTCTTAAGGTCATTAGAACAGATAAACACATGCAGCACATTTCCTGAATGCTTAATGCTGCATTGTCTGCTTTCTCTCCGGGCAGAGACAGCTGTGAAATGTTCCTCAACAGGCCCCAGTCTCATAATATTTCCATTTAAACGCCAGGACAAAGAATACCAAACTGCAGTGTTATTCAGAGAGATGAGCAGGCTTTAGGCTGACAAGATTAGCTTCTTTATCCTCTGCCTCCTACTTCACTCTCTGTGTCATGGTGCCTCAATAAGCCTTTCCTACAGCTTTTTCCGGAGTCGTCCTAAACTGTGGATTCTACTCTGCACCCCGAGGCGACATCAGAGCCAATCTCCTTCTGATTGCATGACATCAGACACGTTAGACCATTTTGCAGCATCACCGCGGAGTAGAAATTATCCGAATGTGATCTTCATCTCAACAGGTTACAAGCTAACAAGAATCAGATGGATCCGTCCCAGAATGCTTGTAGTTCTTGGAGAGGCACTCGTATCATTGTCACATTTAACACTCCGCCGCTGTTACCCCTGATATCTGAATAAGTAAGGGCCTATGGCTCTCAGCATGAATATGAAAGAATGTAATGTGAGATTTCACATAAAACATGTAATCCATCCCCAACATGGGAAGCGCCATGAGTAATGCATGCGGAACACAATCATATGCAAAATGTGTTCAATCTCTTTGAGCCGTACAAAAGAAATGGTGTCCCTTCAACCGTACTCTGCACCAGCATTTCATTTTCTCATGAACATTACTTTTAATCTTTCTCTACAGTGATTAAAGAACCTGTGAAAGTCCCAAGCATGAGTGCGAAAGGCGAACCAAATTGATGCACATTACTTTAAAATAAGAAAGACAGAAGGTTAGCCTGTAATAATCTGAGCTGCTGTTACAGAGAAACAGACTTCATGTATTTCTAGCTTGGTTCAGGGCCGCTAAAATACTTCCAATTAGGGCTGTCATTACATGAGATTTTCAACTCAAGATTATCTTGGCCACAAATACATTTCTTTTGGAAACTTTTTATGTTAATTTCAGTTGATTGTAAGTCACAGAACTGAATGAAAACAGTTAAAATGACAATTAGAAAGGAAAAATGTTCAGTTGATCCATAACTTAAAGAGATGAAACTCTATTCAAATCTATTTTGGAATAACATTTAATCTTCAACATTAGTTTTAAAATTGCCTGATCATCTCTCAGAGGGCTGCTTCAGCTAGCTTATTAGCAGTCTGCTACTTCTTCTTCATCTGTCTTCCACTTTATGACATGAAGTAACCAGCATAAAGGACCGTTTCTATTTGATTATTAGCTCAATATGACAATGACTTTAGAAAAACAGTATTTTGATGAGTATTTCTTGAGAAGAGTAACCCCTAATTTCCACCGCAACCGGAACGGCTACGAAAATGCTGTATCTGCGGATCGAAGCTGATTGTAACCATTTAAGTTAATGTGTCAACCTCCACCGGCTTCTTTCCGTTCCACTGTGGATCAGCTGACTCCACAGCCGATCACAAGAGTTCTATTTTTTCACAGTTAAGTCCGTGCTGGAAAGGAAGTCGGGCACAGACACAAAATAAAACATCCGGCTTCTTTTCAAAATAAAACCTTATGTGTTTCAGGCAGATCGTATTTCACACCATGCAAACGGGCGAGGACAAACAAGTGAAAGGTTTTTAGACAGTATTTCACCCCAATGACACCATCGATGAGGAGATGCTGATTCTAGAAGTCTAGAAGTAGATTTCCTCCTCCGGAAAGACACAATCTACTGCTTACATGGTTATGTGGCTGTCTTCATAGAGACAACTCGTTAACACGCAACTGCATGTGAATATACAGGTTGTGAGCAATTCCCGCTGTCCAAAATCCGCCACGAAATTCACAAACGGATCCGGTAGGAATTGGTAGACAGCAAAAATTGCCGCCGTTCCAGATCTGAGCCATTCCGAATGTGGTGGAAATAGTGCTGGACGATAATTCGATAACAATATATATCGATCGATAGACGTGTCGTGCGATAGAAAAAAAACGGGTCAATAAAAAGTTCGATAGAAAAACACAGTTTCCCTTTCTTTTTCATCATAGCCTATCATGTAGCTTTTACTACAGTCATTACTTCCTCCCAACCAATCACAAACGCAGACCCAGGTATGCTACGGCACCAAGCCCAGCCCCTCTCAAACCACAACAGACAGCACGTGTATTAGAAATAATGTTACAGCAAGGAGAAGCGGAGGAAATTGTCCCGAAAAAAGGTTTCAGTAGTTCACCAGCATGGCAGTGTTTTGGTTTTTACAAGTCTGACAAAAAGCGAACAGCGGTCGTTTGCAAAATTTGCAGAGAATTAGTAAAAACCAAGTCTGGTAACACAACCAACTTGTTCTACCATCTAAACCGATCGCACCCGCAGGAGTACGAGCTGTGTCGGCCGCGCCGCGGCTCCACGTCGTCGTCGGAGGAATCCTCTGGAACCGCTGCCAGCACCAGCACAAAGCAAGTGAAGCAGACCAAACTGGACTGTGTTTCTTGCCAAAACTACAACAAAGCGTCCAAGCGGCATAAGGACATCACCCATGCAGTAACATGCTTCATAGCGAGGGACATACTGCCAATAACTACCGTTGAAAAGCCTGGCTTCGACCAGCTTCTAGCCACTCTCGACCCGCGATTGAAGTGCCCGGCCGCAAGTATTTCTCAAACACAGCGCTTCAGGCATGAAAATGGGTCAGGGGTTGAAAAGCTGAGAACGGTGCGGAGGAAATACGTTCCGGTGTTGTGCTGTAGAATGCACCCCTGCATCCCGTCCACTCATTAGCTTCTTAAAGTGGAAGAAAATGAGCTCATATTTTATAAAGACGCGAGTATTTGGATCATGGCTACTAGCAGGGGGTGCGTTCGGCAGGGGTGCATTCTACGACACAACACCGGCGTGGATAAGTCCTGCTTCTCGTGCTCAGTTTGCGTATTAAGTCAATCACATGATAATTAAAATAAATAAATCTCCCGACCCCGGGAGAAATATTTCAGTGTTCAGACACCAGGCTGTGGGCAGTTTCTCACACAGTTAAAACTGGTAGTATGCTATTCCCACCTAAAGCTATTCTGTTTATTTATATATTTGTTTGTTTTGTTTATTTTCATCAAAAGACTATTTAAATATTTATTTATCAGATTTTCTGGTCACTTTAGTCTTTATGTTTGTCAGTATTTACTGACGTCACTCAGGCCACTTAAGTTGATTTCTTTTTTTTTTTTTTAAGTTCTTTTTTAAAAAACTTTCAGTTGTGGTAAAAAAGAATAAAAAGGTGGTTGAATAAAGGTTTGAATTTGATTTCAGTGCTTGTGTGTTCTTTATTAAAAGTAGGTCATTAAGCAATAGCATAAAACATCCAGGGCTGCAATTAAAATATATGTTAAATAATTATAATAATTATATCGATAATTATCGATATCGATCAATATGATTTATTTTTTATCGATATGCTTTTTTTCTATATCGTCCAGGCCTAGGTGGAAATTGGGGGTTAGTAGTAGAGCGTGGCCTCAAATCAATATCACTAATGATACAACATGTTTCTTCAATCAAGTTAATGAGGGTCTGCTCTGTTTTGTTTTAGATTTGCCCTCAGAGTTCACTGCCAAGGTTTGCACAGTTATCATTAAATGTGAGGCATTTTTGAAATTGGTGTATCTTACATTTTAATCTCTAGATGTTCTGGATGTTTTTTTATTCATTTATAGCTTACAACCTCTTTAACATCGTTAACTGAATTAAACAAAAACAGAAATAACTGAAGAGCACGATTTCATCTGTTAGAGACTCTTCATGTTGGCTCTGATTAAACTGCAGCCCTCGTTTGCGGTGTAGTGGTCGTGATGGATGGCACATATAGCAGGAAAGAAGAGGCGGACTTCTGTGGCAACAATACAGGTCTCGACTGCATGTAAGCGCTAAGGTGTAAAGTTTTTAAGACCACCGCTTTTAGGTCTTAACTTGCTCTCTCTTTACTTTATCTCGGAGTAGATCAACCTGCTCTTTTCTCGCCTTTGCCTGGGGCAGTTTGGGATAACTGTAGATCTGTTTTTTCATCAAAGCTTTTAGGTACTGTTTGACATAAAATAACAGGGATTATACCTTGGTATGGAAGATTCTGACAATCTTAACTCTTCAATCTTCTCTAGTTAAACAAAAGAGGTGTCTTGGGCATCACTGATAGCATGTGTCTGAGAATGAAGTTGACGATCACAGATCAGGTTAAAATCTGTATTTTTCTAAGGTTGGAGAATAATTTCTGTTCGTATTAGGGTGACTATTTTCTCAAGGTTCGGGGAGCTCTATTTTCACGGTTTTATTAATAAGCATGCTTCCATGGTGACAGAGCAACAGTGTTTATACTGCTCTCTTGAAAAGTCCCGAGCTGATTGGGAAAGAGGAAGAGAAACCTCTCCTCAGTGTTTAATGTTCATCTGCTCCAATGTCAACTGACCTCCCCTCAAGCCCCTATCATGACTGCTCCATCTGCTGGAGGTCTCTCCCTCTTAGATAGGAGTGTAAGTCATTTTGGGTCAGTTGCTGAAAGACTGATACTGCTGCTCTTCTTGGAAGGTCAGGCTCTTAAACGAGGTAACGTAGACTCTGTAGTAAAAGATGCCACTGGAGAGAGAGTAAGAGAGTGCAGACTTGGTTCTTGGTTCTCTTCTGGTGGGGATGCATGCTCTCCTCAGTGCTTGTGGGTTCCTTCATGATTCTTTCATGGTTTTAGGTTTCCAATTGCTGAGCTTAACCAAGTGTGTCTTGCTTTTCACCGGGTGCATGTGGGGCTCTTCTACAGGCAGGTTAGACCCGAGGCTTGCTCAGTGGCACATATGACCTGTAGCTGAAGGCGTTCCACGAGAGAATGGAATTAATTGGTGCTGAATTAACCATGTTTGAAGAATGCTTATGAAGCTTTTTCTAAAAATATATTTCAACTGTATTTACCCGAGTCGAAGAAGCCGACGGGTAGTGAAGTGACACATTTTACACCAAGCATTACAGACACTGTGGTAGTGTTAGTTGAGGATTGATATAAACACATAGACTGTTTATACTATGGACAACTTGGCTCGGTCGTTACATAAATTTTAAGCTGAATTGCTCTCAGTATTTCTGGGACGTCCTCCACTTCACGGAACCACCGCTTGCACAGTAACGTTGTACGCATTCGGCGGGAGAGTCTCTGAGATGACGCTCTGCTCAAACAGCGTATCCCCTGAGTGATCTATGCAATCTTCGTATGCCCATAGGCTGTATCAAGTGTCAATCATAGAAAAATGACCCCCTACTTACTTTTAAAAATGGAGCTGCACAGAAAAAAAGAGCACTTGAGCTAGGGGTGACCATATTCTGAATCCCCCAAAAAGACAACACAACTACGTCACGGAGTTGCGTGTGGTAAATGTTGAGAGGTTTTTTTTGGTTTGAGTCGACTGTTTTTTTACACGCTTCTAACTCAGTAAGTCCATGTGACACAAACTCAAAACTTCCACTCAAAACCCCAGACATTTGAAGGATTTTATATAAAAGCCCCCAGCCCCCCAAAAGAGGACATGTCCAGATAAAAGAGGTATGGTCACTGTACCTGAGCACAAACCAGTCTGACAATAACTACGTTAAGATCGCAACCAGGGGGAGAAAAATTTACATTCTGTGTAATTAATTTCTAAAGTTTGTCCACAACTCTATAGGGATTAGTGAAGGAGGCGGGATTTATAACCTACACTGCAGCCCATCACCAGAGGGCGCTGTTCTCGTGGTGGCTTCACCCAGCGAGGAGGCTTCCTCTGTATTTATTAAAGTCTATGTATAAACACAAATAGAAGTGTTTTTGGTTAGATATACTGCTTCATTTAAGAATCAAAAAAATCTATTTTGGCTTTCTGTTAAATGTTATTACTACCTTTCCAGATGGACTCAGATTCGATCGTATTTTGGCCTCTAAAAAGGCTGTGCAGAAATGTGAGTTTCACTTTTTGTGTAATGAATTGTGGCATTGGCTGTCACAGCAACAACTTCACACCTAAAAGTACAAAGTCACCTGACACAGAAGTTATTGCCCTGTCCTAGAATATCTGCCCTTTTAAACCCTGTCTTTACAGGGGAGCAGGCTGCACATCAGCTTCTCTGACCTACCTAAAAATGTGTTGACCTCCATCTCAGGCACCAGGCATCACAAATATTTGGCTTCCAAGAAATGATATAAAAAGAGAAAAGTGGGGTTTCACAATTTTCTATTTACTGAAGCTCCAGAGGAGGAGGGAGTCCCAGTGTGTGTTCATTTCCTTGATCCCATCACTGTTTGTACTCTTACATCTGAAGACCAGTCAATAATGTGCGCTGACCTCCAGTCAGTCTGAAGCACACAGTAAGATTAGCAAGGGAGGCCCTGGATGATGCAACACTGCTGGAGGAAAGCTGTCTGTTTACATCTGCCTCTGGTATCAAGTCAGAAAATTCCAGACATAAAATCACTGAACAATACAGAAAAGCTTTTTTATGTCTCCTTTTTAGCAATTTCACTCAATCTCTATTAAATCTGAACATCACAGCCCAGCATCAACCTTCAAGGCTGAAAAAAGAGCCCAATCTCAGGTGTAAAAACTACATTTCCTCTGGAGACAAATTTGAAAATGAGTCAGTCCCCATTATACTCCATATTTAAGTGCTCAACTTTGCAGCAGAACTAATATTTTTGAGTCAGGTACAAAACAAGTTTTGGTCTCTTGTGTTGAATTCATAATTCCCTCACTGACTTGAAAAAAGGCAGAAAGTGATGAATGAATTGGGGTGTAGTTGCTTTTCTTGTCTGGTGGGTGCTGATGATTTTCTACTCAGTTGATTCCAGTCACTGAAATTGACTTCCTCACTCGTTTTTGTTCGTTCCTCCTAGAGTATTTTGAAGAAAATATTATTTAGGAGTGATTCAAGAAGACTGTGTTCTATGGGGGTGAAGATCTGGTATTATTCGATTTATGTTAGCACAAATTGGCAAGCCAATGACTGTTGGGTTTCTTTCTTTCCATCTTTTTTATTTGTTATAATTTATTTCATTGTTCTGTGTGCCTTTTGCCTAAAAGGTTTGTATTGTAAACCTGATCAACTCATTGGATCTTCTGTCAAAGACTTTATCGAGGTGTCCACTGTAGCTATAGGAGCCATATCCTTTAGGAAATGTCATCAGTTTTTCCTTCAACCTTTTTGAACCCTCTTTATACTAGGGCTGTAATCAACCAAAGAAATTCTCGGTCGACTAAAACCCTGAAATTTTGTACCAGAAATCAACTGTTGAGGGGGCGGGTGGGGGATTATGTCAGACTCTGATGACGTGGCTCGGCAGGATGAAAATATACTGTTATCAGCACAAGGAGGCAATTAAACACATATATTCAGCAAACCACTGGACGTTAATTAACGTGGACACTCTTCAATCTCCCTGTCTCCAGCCTGGTCTCCAGTGGGTTGGGCGAATTCAAAATGGTGAAAACAAGAGGGGGTGTTATGAGACAGGCAGTTACCTGTGAAACAGGGGTGCTCTGAAAACACCCCCATTAGCACTTGGTACGTTCCTCCTATTGAAATTAACCACAGACTGTAAATCGGCGCTGAAAAAAGTTATCGAGTCCACCAATCAAAATTTCTGATTGGAAATTCAGCACTTATCAACCAATAAACCAACCAGTTGACTATAACTTGACAGCCCTACTTCATACGATGCAGCATTTGAATGCTACGTACAGCTGCCCTGTAAACGCACTTGTTGCTGGGTACTTTTTGAGCCATGCACTGGTCATATTTAGTAATGGGATTTTGCTCCAAGTGCTGAATCAAATTAGTGGCATTACCTTAGACCATGGAGAGTATCTTCTAGTCATAAGCTGTAGAAAGCCATTAATGCCTATTATCTTTGTTTGCAGCAAAACTGACAGAACACTAACAATTTGATTCAACAAATTAAATCTGAATTCTTGAATTATCAATTCATTTTATTCTTCCTTTGGGAGATAACATTTACTAGTCAGTAGGTATTTGGGTCTTAAACTTTGACCTCCTCTTGCAGTATCTTGCTCACCTGGCTGTACGCTCTCTGTTGCTGGGCAGGTGGTGCACATGGGGTTTCACTGATTTCCTTTTCCCTGTCTCTGCAGCTGTTGATATAAGCAGTGATACTTGAACCGTGCAAGATCTGTTGAAATATATGCTGAAATCAAATCCGCTGAAGGGATGAGTAATTGTTTGTGGGTTGAGAACAAGCAAGTCCAAATTGGGGACATTTTTGTAAAGGTTGGTAAAAATACTGATCACTCTAGGCTATGGGTAAAGGGAAGATTTTCAAGCAAATGTAGGTGACATAAATACATCAATTATTATATTTTTCATCTTATTTTGGATACTGGATCCAACCATCATCCCCTGGATAAAATTCAAGATGGATTTTCAGTCTTATTTCCCTAAACAAATGTGTGTTTGGCCACTGATGATTATCTACTAGCTGACATTTAGTAACTGGCTGCAGCATTTAATTAGTAATGCCATGTTTGACACCACGGGTCAAGCATTTGCATGACAGTGTTCGATGAGCGTCGGTTCCTTTAGCCCTTTTAGCCTTAAACACTAAAATCTGTCAAAACACTGTGCTCCAACAGCTCTTAGTCCCAGAACTGCCATTCTGCTCCTCTGCCTCCACACATATCATCACAAATTGGTTTCCTGTCACCCACACAGCCCTGAAGCTGGCTGTTGAAAAGGTGAGAATAATTATTTGACCTCTGTTATGTTGTGTACGATAAGTAAAGGTCGCTGTATGAGGGAAATCCTGCCAAAGTCTATTAGCAAAAGGCTATTATTGAATTCATGAGGGTTACGATTATGACTCAGAAACCCAAAAGCAAATTGAGGGTGTACGGGAACGGAGAAAGAATCACGAAGAAATCTTAATGTTGCATGTGTTTCAAGCGTGAAGATTATTGATTGATTGTCACTCAGGGTGAGAACTTTAAATCATCCTTTAAAACTATTTACAGGTAAGGTTGGCAGAATTCCGTTAAAGAAGCATCTTTTTTGTGGTGTATACACAAAAAAGCTGTTAATATCAGTCAATAGCTATTAGTTATTGATGACGTTTGGGAATATCACGATATCGCTGTGTTTTCTTACGCCCGCTCATTCTGACTGTAAACAAAGCCGTTCTCCGTCTCCCCGACCTGACTGGTTGTGAGGCAGACGCTGCTCCCTCGTGTTGTGAGGCACGCTCCACGCCGTTGAATGATGTTCACGAGTCCAAACAAGGTTAGCGTGCAACAATATCGGACAGTAGAAACTAACCAAATGGTACAGAAAATTGTCTGAATCCTTGTTTGGCCACGACTGCCAGCACAAGCAAGAAAACAAAGTAAATATCAGAGACTCTGGCGGAATAATGGGCGCTTAAAAAGGAGGTAGACCGGACAAGAGCTAAAAAGCCGGGTCAACATCAATGAGGCATAAATGTTTGGGGACGCTTCAGGATCTTACGGACCCTGTAACCTTTCTGCTAGACAGGTAAACCACCTTAACAAAGTAAGACAAGTGTCTGTAACAGAAGTGTTTTACGTAAAACAGGAACTGCTGTAGCGTGTTGTAGCGCCGCTAAACTGTTGACCTCGGTAGTCTGCTGTTTGCTGGTAGTCTGTTGGCATCTACAGAAGCACCAATGCTTTTGACTTTAACGTTGACTGGGCCCCATTTTTAATTATCTGAAGTACTCGCATACTTATGTGCATTATATATGAATTTAACTTAAACAACATGAGCGACCACAAGCGTCTGTTTGTGGGCGGGGCTTGCTGGAGCAGAGAGGGAGGGGAGAGGAGGAGCTGAGGGGAAAACTGGTTGGGAGAGGTAGTTTTTTGCGCTGTCTAGACACCAAGGTGGATGAAATGTAATGCATGTTCTGTAGATGTAAAAATTCTCACAGGTTACTTCCTATCCTCATGAGTTAAATCATCCAGAGTAGATTGTTTAACTTCCTCAGATTTTGGTCCACCTGTTTTCAAAGCAAAGCTCTATCAGTCTCACTCAGGGCCTTCGATGCGTGCATAACTTCCAGCATTTCCAATCTGCCTCACAGGTCTTCATGGACGAAAAATATATACTTACGAGAAAACAACTTAAAAGAGGAAATCAAATATTGATTCCACTCCACATGAGAGACGTGATTCTGGAGAGGATAGACCACAGGCGTCGGATCTTAATCAAGTGTCGGGAGAGATGCAGAGATGCCATCTGGTGGTCCAATTTCAGCCAAGCTGTTAAGAGAAATGTGTTCTCTCTGCAAGAGGCACAGACCCTGAGAGCCCTGCAAGCCTCTCATCACAGCACCAGAGGCTGCGCCCCCATGGTGAAGGATGGCAAGCTGCTTTGGTGAGTGAAAAACTTGTCCAGAGTTCAGGTCACATCTGTTTCCAAAGTTTTGCTTGTTTGGTATGCAAATGATGAGTCGCTCTGAGACCACGAGACAAGCTTCCTCTGAGACTGATATCAGCGGGCCTTTATTACCTCCACCGAGGAGGTTATGTTTTCGGTAGCGTTGGTTTGTTTGTTTGTCTGTTAGCGACTTTACGGAGGAAGTTACTGACAGATTGACCTGAAATTTTTACCAGAGGTGCGTCTCTTCTGGATCCAGGAATTTTTTGAAGGATTCTTTATCATTGTGAGATAGGGCAAATTTTGGAATTTTTGCATTTAACTCTATAAAAATGGCCAGAGTCTTTAGTAAAAAATTACACAAAAGGATCTCAATGAGTTTTATGGGGTGTCAAAGGTTGATCCAGATCCAGACAAAATTCCGGATACTGTGATCCAGAACACACAAAAATAAGGGTGTCATTGGAATTTTCACTGCTGAAATATAATCAATGGGCGGCACAGTGGTGTAGTGGTTGGCACTGTCGCCTCATAGCAAGAAGGTCCTGGGTTCGAATCCGGGTCAGGGTATTTCTTGTTTTAGGAACATTATGAACAGTGAACATACCAGTTTTAACACAAATAAACGTTAATAAAAGACACGTAACAGTCAAAGTTTTGGTCTGAATCACAATATAAGGGGGGACATGAGCTGCTTGGCGGAGGTCTGCGCTCTCCGAGTGCTTTTCTAGTTTGAACATTTCATTTGTGTGTTTTTTTTTCTTTAACCAATATGGTTTAATGATAAATGATATGACAGCTGTGGATTCTTCCCTCCCTGGTACACCATGAAGTTTGTAAGCTTGAAAGTTTGAGAGAAAAGTTCACAACGAGGCTGATATCACGTGGATCCCATTATCAAGCTTTGTTTTTTTGAAGAGAATACAGAAGAACACCGAGTGGTATAATCACCGCCGTCTGACTGCAACATATCACCAGAACCTGGAGATTTTCTCATTGAGAGAAATTGGAAAAGAGAAAATTGTTGACAGCAGTGCTGCAGGAGGAGGAGGTAGAAAACAGAAGGAAGCAATATCTTGGTGTCAGAATTCAATCTACACTGCATTCACACACTCAAATAAACACCCAGACTGACATGAGAAGTAGTTTCATGACCATGATTGGTTAACACCTTATTTTGCCCTTTTTTCAGCTTGTACCTGTAACTTTAGGTGCAGAGTGTTGCAAACATGTGTCCTTGACAGATTTTTTATCATCTCCTTTTGGTAGAAAATATAAAGTAAGTGAAAAAAAAAAAAGGTTGTGACTTCTTTATCATCATATGTTTGCACATTATAAAGCATCTTATGATTTGTTTTGGTCTTTAAATCACATTTAGATGAAGTTTCTCTCAACATACTTTATTCCCTCCTTCTAACACCTGGCTACCACAGAGAAAATCTTAATTTAATCCTAAACCTACATGGGGGTGTATACATTTAGCTTTTATTGTGTTGCAAAGTTAAAGTTGTTGCAATAAACATCGCTGGTGTGCAACACAAGCAAGAATTACGTGTGCTATAGTTAGCTAGCAGCTGAAAGCATCCCTCCCAGGGGCAAACCCGGTTGTGTTTGCTCTCTGGGACCCTTGAGTTGATGAGAGGAATTATGCTCCACAGTTTCCTCCAAGATTGCACACTCCTCTATTGTAATTTTCTTGAAAAGCGTGACCTGAGTGAACCAGGTTGCTGTCCTGTGGTGGCAGGCTGCTGTTTTGCTGATGAGTTACTTTACGGCGCTCACACTGAGCAATTGCCCTCACTTTACCTCTGTGTTGGGAGCGCTCTGTTCGGCTCCCTCATACACTGAACATCTGTGAATGAGAGGTTCAGGCTCCTGTCCAGACAGCGCTCCGATGCAGAAGAAGAGGAAGAAACCCAAACATTCAGTCTGCATGTATTCTCTCATAAAAAGGGACAGTGCGGAGCTGTAAAGCTTTATTGCCCCACTGAGCGTTTATTGAGCATGCATGCTGTTTTTGAATACCCTTCATACTCCTACACACAGCACAGCGTGTTTGGCTGGTTTTTCTAATGCTGCTCACATAAAATATTTAATCATTTGGAGACTTTTTTCTGTTATTTTACTCAGAGGGATTCAGGGACATATGTAAACATTACCAGAAAATGCCAGTGTTCAACTTTGAATCTGGTTTAGCAAGCTTACATAAACACGATTGATAAAGATGGTTCATGTTTAGTATTTGTATGGAGTACACACTTTCCATAAAGACAAACACTGCTTCAAATGGAAATGTGGGTTTGTAATGTGTGTAGATTGTACTACACAGTAAAAGCAGAGCTATAAAAGAAGGAGAGGAAAGTCAAAACATAAAAAAGTGTTGCAAATGAAAGGAGTAAATCAGGTTGATAGGAGCTCACGCTGATCTTCATTATTAAGCTGCCGAAGTATAAGAAGTCTGTCAGAGTCGTGGTGTTAAAACAACTTAGCTTACAAAAATACTCCATCTATAATAAAAATAAATGCAAAAATAAGTATCAACTTTGAATCCTTATGGATGGAGATCAGTCTCCCCTGATCCCTGATTGTTTCCACCTGTTCCCCATTAACCTCATGTGTCTTATAGTCGGCGTCTCCCTTTGTCCTGTGCCAAGTGTAGTGCTGGACGATAATTCGATAACAATATATATCGATCGATAGACGTGTGGTGCGATAGAAAAAAAACGGGTCGATAAAAAGTTCGATAGAAAAACACAGTTTCCCTTTCTTTTTCATCATAGCCTATCATGTAGCTTTTGCTACAGTCATTACTTCCTCCAAACCAATCACAAACGCAGACCCAGGTACGCTACGGCACCAAGCCCAGCCCCTCTCAAACCACAACAGACAGCACGTGTATTAGAAAAAAATGATACAGCAAGGAGAAGCGGAGGACATTGTCCCGAAAAAAGGTTTCAGTAGTTCACCAGCATGGCAATGTTTTGGTTTTTAGAAGTCTGACAAAAAGCGAACAGCGGTCGTTTGCAAAATTTGAAGAGAATTAGTAAAAACCAAGTCTGGTAACACAACCAACTTGTTTTACCATCTAAACCGATCGCACCCGCAGGAGTACGAGCTGTGTCGGCCGCGCCGCGACTCCACGTCGTCGTCGGAGGAATCCTCTGGAACCGCTGCCAGCACCAGCACAAAGCAAGAGAAGCAGACCAAACTGGACTTTGTTTCTTGCCAAAACTACGACAAAGCGTCCAAGGACATCACCCATGCAGTAACATGCTCCATAGCGAGGGACATACTGCCAGTAACTACCGTTGAAAAGCCTGGCTGCAAACAGCTTCTAGCCACTCTCGACCCGCGATATGAAGTGCCCGGCCGCAAGTATTTCTCAAACACAGCGCTTCAGGCATGAAAACGGGTCAGAGGTAGAAAAGGTGAGAAGGGTGCGGAGGAAATACGTTCCGGTGTTGTTCCGTAGAATGCACCCCTGCATCCCGTCCACTCATTAGCTTCTTAAAGTGGAAGAAAATGAGCTCATATTTTACAAAGACGCGAGTATTTGGATCAAGGCTACTAGCAGGGGGGGCATTCGGCAGGGGTGCATTCTACGACAGAACACCGGCGTGGATAAGTCCTGCTTCTCGTGCTCAGTTTGTGTATTAAGTCAATCACATGATAATTAAAAAAGATAAATCTCCCGACCCCGGGAGAAATATTTCAGTGTTCAGACACCAGGCTGTGGGCAGTTTCCCACACAGTTAAAACTGGTAGTATGCTATTCCCACCTAAAGCTATTCTGTTTTACTTATATATTTGTTTGTTTTGTTTATTTTCATCAAAAGACTATTTAAGTATTTATTTATCAGATTTTCTGGTCACTTTAGTCTTTATGTTTGTCAGTATTTACTGACGTCACTCAGGCCACTTAAGTTGATTTCTTTTTTTTTTAAGTTCTTTCTTAAAAAACTTTCAGTTGTGGTAAAAAAAAAAAAAGGTGGTTGAATAAAGGTTTGGATTTGAATTCAGTGCTTGTGTGTTCTTTTTTAAAAGTAGGTCATTAAGCAATAGCATAAAACATCCGGGGCTGCAATTAAAATATATGTTAAATAATTATAATAATTATATCGATAATTATCGATATCGATCAATATGATTTATTTTTTATCGATATGCTTTTTTTCTATATCGTCCAGGCCTAGCCAAGTGTCTCGTTTATTCGTGTTCCTCCAGCCTTCATGTCCACAGCCTTGCTCGATAACCACTTTGGTATTTTTGATAATCCTTGTTTCCTCTTTAGAAGAGTGATTTTCTGTTGTAGATTTTTTCCCTGTTTATTTTCTAGATCTAGCTTCTGTTTCATAGCCTTGTTGTTTTTTCCTCCCTTCTGGAGTGATTTTTTTTTCTTACAGTTTTTCTAGCCTGAGTGCAGTGTTGTTAAGTTTGTAGTCCTTTTTGTTTCCCTCCTTTTGGAGCGCTTTTTGTTTATAAATTTTCATAGTTATTCCTCTGAAGATTAGAGAAGATTAGCCTATTAATTTGTCCTCCCTTTTGGAGTGATTTTTTGTTCTGTCTTGGTTTGATTTGGTTTCTGTGTTTGTCTGTTCGCCACTAGTAGATAGATAGAAGGTTTTCATAGCCTATTTATTTATCACTCTATCTACTGAGAAAGAAGACGATTTTCAAAATAAAGTGTTTGTTGAACTCTGAACCTCTGCGTCTGAGTCCGTCCTCTAGTCCAGGCCTGACAGTGTCATTTACAACTCTGACAACTTATCAAACCTCAAAGAAAACCCTCACATTAATGAATACACTGTAATTGCCACAAAAAGTGCAGTATAATGTGCACTGAATAAAAAAACTGAACAAAAAAACTGAACAAAAAAGTGAAATTCGATTAAAAACATTTGTTTTGGTGGGCATGTCTTCCTCAGCGAGTCATGTGATGAAATGTCCATATTTAGAGCGAAATCATATGTTTCCTGCTGGGTCAAGAAACAGTTTCTATTCTGTAGCTCATGTCTTTATTCTGCATGGATGGTAAAATAGCAGTAAAATCCTTAAATCAGAGGTATGGCTGAAGTGACGGAGAGGTTGGTGTGTTGTTGCTGTTTGCCAAAAGGTTAGAGGTCTCCCTCAGCCCCACCTCTCTGCCCGTGTCCACGCTGATCAAAAGTACAGTTGAGTCAGCATTTCCGTAACAGCGTGCAACATCATCGAGCTTCAAAACATCTACTCAGACACCAGTGGGCCATGACACAAATATTATATTTGCTGTAGTCCACGATTTCAAATAACCTAAAACAAATTTAATATTTATGTTCTTTTTGAAGCTCTCTAACTGTAAGGAAACGCATCAACAACACACTGCACTACGTTTATGTACGTGCAAGTATGTGATGCCTTATGGTGCGGTCCAGATAGCAAATTGGGAATACGTTAAGATGCATCAAATAGCCGCGTGTGTGTTGCCCTCCGGAGTGTTTTTTCTTTGCTCATGAAATAAACATTGTTGGCTAAGTGCTGTACTGTTGACTTGGATTACAGTGTATTTACTCAGTGCATAAATGTGTCATGAAACAATAAGAAAGCTTTATCAGAATGTGCTTCCAACCATCCATGGAAAGTTGTGAACATTTTGTAGAGGATCCAGCACATACATTGTAAATGATGTATTGACAACCTATTAAGAGTCTTGCATCGAGACTGCTCCCATAAGGCCTTCTGGTGCTTTAACGGAGTCTGTGGCTTTGTATTAATTAAAAATTCCATCTGCTTAAGAGACTCTGCCTTTGCTCTGTGATGAAAAACTGCCTTTTGGTGATATCCTTGGTGTGATCTCACAATGAGAAGCTCAATCAATTTAACTCATGATGTGCTGTCAGAAAACAGATCAGCTTTAACTATTTAGTGCCTTCCTTTCATCAATAACATCACTGGGGGGTATTAACTGTATGGAAGATCAATCTACTGCAGATAAAAACAGTTCCTCGAATGCGTGTTTTGTTGCTCCAGCGATGCTGACTTTGAATAGGCCAAGAGTTGTAAACACCAAGGCTGAAAATGTACTCATAAAAAAAAAAAAAAAAAAATACTTGAATCCAGTTACAACCTTCATTGTAGAGGTTGGCGCTGCTTCATAAAGCTCACTGGGGGCTCAGTGTTTTAGCACCTACACACAAACACACAAGTGCCTGTGTGTCATAATTATGTGGTAGTTGCAACATCTTTCTCACCAGGGATGCAGTCGTACAAAAGGATAATCCTGCATCCTATGCTCTGATCTGTGCTTCTGCAAAATACTGATGGTGTGCGCACACATGTCTTACATAGAGAGGAAAAAGAGGGCTAAATTCAAACATGCCTCCTGGTTTTATCCTGTGGGTTTGGGGGGTTGATAAAGGTGTTCAGCTCGTTACAAACAGTCTTCAAAATAGCTTCTTATATGATATGACAGCTGGAGTGATATTTCATCATCCTTTGAAGGTGTTATGGATTATGCTCGGTTGAACCACATGCTGTCTATGATAATAATAAATGTATATGCCTTGTGCACAACATAAGCAGAAATCAGGGGCTGTGTTTACCGCGCCCTGGAAGAAAATTCCCCTTGCTTTTACTTTTACCATCTTGTTCAGCAGTTTCAAAAATGAAAGCTAATGTCCTGAAAAAAACACATCAAAGGCACAATGAAGGATTTAAATTGGTGCAACAATCAAACGCTTTTACTTGACATTAAAGTGTTTGAAAAAAACTTTGCATTGGGACAATAGACTGTACTCAACCATGCAGGGCAACAGCTATTTCCCGTGATACAAAAACAGCTGGAGCCTGACTTCGCCATATACACAGGAGGAACATGGGTCAAACTAGAGGATTAAAAATACACAACCAGTGTATGCTCAAAGATGCTGTTTAAAGTTAGAGTAGGTTACTTCCTATGGGCGGCTGTCATTAGAGTGTTGGTGAATTTAAACAGTGGTTATCAGTGTGTGTCGTCATGGAGGGAAGCTGGAGGTGCAGTGAGTAAGAGTGCACTCATAAACTGAGTGAAGTTATTTTCCTCAGAAATACAGTCGGTGAGCGGGGTTCGAGAAATGAGCAAGGTGGGCGAGCTGGGTTGGAGCAGGGGGCAATAAAAAAAAAAAAAAAAAAAAAAGGGTTTTTGACTCATAAAGTCGGACAATCGTCACCAACCCCGATTTGACGAAAACGTCACAATCCAAGATGGCAGTGCATCAACAGTAAAGAGTAACAGTGAAAGCTCTATTCAAAAGCACTTCTGTTTTGTTTTAGTGAAATTAAATATGTGGTATATGTTGTACTGCCCAACGACCAACAACCGCTGACAACGGCTAACAACAGCTGACAATTGTTAACAACCCTTGACAACAGCTAACAGTAGGCATCCATCTTGGTTTTCCGACTTGTTTACTGGAACGCCAGTAAAACGCTTTCAAGTCAAGTGTAACGTCATTCCCAGCTCCGACTTCTGAGGTAACTGGAATGCAGCACAAGTCTTGATCTCGAGGACTTGTTTTCAGCTAAGTAACTGATGTCCACTGCAGTTAACAGTGTTGTGCAGCATTCCTATGAGTAAAACTATGGGTGTACAGTAGAGGACCAGGAGACAGAACCTGCAGCTAGAACTCATGCATGGGTTGTATTTGGACCCTGTACTGTTCATTTTTTATTCTTTTTATTTTAATGATTTTATTATGTTTCATTAAAAGTTATTTTAAACAAAATGACAAGAGAAGTCCAGATTTGTGCATGACCTTCCCAGGTCTCTCATTAAATCCTGTCTGTTTGTGTTTGAGTAGTTTACAATCAAGACAACTATCATTAGCAATTCTTTAACCATAAATGTCTCCTGCTGAGTAGCAATCAGGGAATCAAGTAACAGAAAATGCCCACGTAATCCAACGCAATGTGCGGATGAATATTCATGAAGGTTTCCTTTTAATTAATGTAAATTTCTCCCCAGCTAAAAAAGGTGAAAGTGTGAAAACTGACACCAAACAATGTAAATTAACCGCTGCAGCAGCAACAACAGGTTGTGTAACACTCTCAATACATTTAGATGTGGATGGATGGATGGATGGATGGATAGATGGATAGATGGATGGATTAACCTCTTTATTCTGAGATCTCAAAGTCCCCTCTTCTGTTTCCACATGAGGAGGTTGATGTGCAGTGTGCTTTGGGCCTCTTGAGCACAATGAGAGGTCAAGTACGGATGATAAATGGTGAGTAAGCTGGGGGACTGAGCGAACTGGTACAGTGAAATGTTCCATATTGACCCAAGAGAAGAGGGAATGTGCCATGAAATGAGTTTCTGAGCTTTGTGATGTTTAATTTAATGCAAAGCAAGCAGGATGCTTCCCTGTTTTTTTTTCTATTGTGAACTCTGGC